AGCTGAGGGCTGGTCAACCACGGCAGATTAAATAAGTAAGTAAGGCTTTGTTTGAAAGTGACAATTACTTGACAACATCTACGGTATAGTAAGTTCCTGCGACAATAACTGAGTTAACATCACGTTACAAAATCAATAACTACCAGCTAGAAGCACAGCTAGCATATTTAGTCAACTTTGCCCAATTTTTACTGCGGTTTGCTCATTTTACTTCTCTACACTCCAAATTAGTCTTTTATTCCTTGAAATCACTTTTTTCATGAATACATTGACATTTTGTTCTCTCTTATTTAGTCTACTGATAACCTCTAGCCAGTAGGATCTTACCGGAGGCTTAGAAAATACTTGAAGTACAGCTTGCATATTTAATTAACTTCGCCCAATTTTTATTACGGTCTGCTTCAAGCAGACTGCAAGTTGCATTTCACTTTTTGGTATTCCATTTTATTCCTATACTATATTGCATGGAATAATTTTTTTCAAGAACATCTTCTTGTTCCTCGGTAGTGTACCTGCCACTGCTTACTTGATAGCACAGCACAAAAGCTATGAGCATCAAATTACTCTTCATGGGGAATCAGCTGAAACTAAATTAGGCATTATTTGGCGATAAGCAAAGGGTTTCTAGTTGGTGTTCAAATAAGAAACGTTTGATTTCTTTTTAATAGTAGCAATTTTTATTAAAAAAAATACTGTAAATAACATAAGCACAGGTTAATCTCATTCATATAATTGAATAAATTCTGTATATATAATAGATGACTATTCTATATTTTCAAGAATAACTCGCCTTAAGGTTTTCATACAGTGATACCTGCTGATAAATATCATTGAAATACAAAGCGAAAATATCAATTTGGTGAACTTAAATCATGTTATCCTATGAATACCTAAAGATGAATTGATTTTAGTATTTCAGACAATGGTTAGCCTTGTCAACAATACTTCTAATCAAACGCAAATATCATGAAAATAGAGACTGTTCCTTTCTAAGAAATTCCACTCATATTTAGGCAGAGTGTTACATGACAAACTTCGGTAAATCTGGTTGAAATGTTCAAATCTAAAATGAATTTAAAGTCAAATTCATTTAGAACTGGTTATATTTGTATTGAAATAAAACAATATTGTAATAGCCGACAATTTCCGATAATCATCCGACTCGGAAACTCGTTACTAGTGCTCCTTGGGCGTAGCTCCAGCCGGTAGGATTTAGGCACAACCTTTTCTCAGGGATGGAAATCCTTGTATAACACCGTAGTTTATATGATAAAAAGTGATCTAATGATTTTGTATATTGTAGACATTCGAAATGATTTGTATGAGGTGCTAGTTACCTTCGAGTTTCTCATATTCTTGGTGATGTTTACATTTGTAAGGCAGATTAAATAAAGTTCCATTTTGTGAACAATACTTTCGACTTTGATTGATGATGTAGTCAGGCACCGAAGGTATCGAAATGTGAAAGAATACAAATATCATTTTCCGTAGGAAAACAAATTACAGGTGCACTGTTCTGTCGGTCGTACCCTCCGCTCTCTTTAATCTTCTCTTGGTCGTTGTGTTATACAGTTCCAAGGTTCCTGTTTATCTGATTCCTGATTTTCTTAATTGTCTCAAAACGACTCATTTAATTACGGCCAAATCAATTGTGTTTTGATAAACAGATCAACACCCCGCCGTCAGATAGATTTACTGAATTGATACCTCGTTTTAATTACCCATTGTTGAAGCTCAGGAGAACTTGACGATCTCTTGAAATGAATTGGAAGGACACAGTTTATGACTTTGTAGTTTTGATATCATTGTGTGTTTTTCATTTACAGACACAGCGCTTTAATTCCCTTCCTTGGGAAGTGGCGCAATAATACAATGTTGCAGATGGAGTACGTGACGCATAACGAAGAGTAACACAATTTCTAAAAAGCCGCGGTAAATTGATTGACACAAATAATCCGTTCCTATGGCCCAAGTGTTTATTGTTTCCTTTTATCTCTGCTAATTCGGGAAAGTTAAACTGCTGGAGGCTTGAAGAGAGGTAGCGATTGTAAACTGCTTCTTTTCCTTGCGTTGATATTTTATTATGTGACAATTGCTGTCTGTTTCAGAAGGACCGCAAGGCTAACATGCAAATTATGCTTTCCTTATTTGCTCAGGAGTAAGTTCTTCTCTGTTCGCCTTTTTACTATAGATAGCGCAGTCCTCAGAAATCGGCTCTAATTGACGCAGTTATGGCCGAAGACCACTTCAGTGTTGTCGACTATGTTGTCTTCTCCATCATGTTACTTATCTCGGCACTGATCGGGATTTGGTATGGCTGCGGACCGGGTGGAAACAAACAAAGGACAACGGCCGAGTATCTTCTGGGCGACCGCCAAATGAAGAACTGGCCTGTCGCCATATCGATTCTAGTGTCGTTCCTCTCAGCGATCACTCTCCTTGGATTACCAGCAGAGATCTACACCTATGGAACACAGTTCTACTTGATCATCATAAGCTACGTATTGATTTGTATACCTGTGGGCGCCGTCTACATTCCAATGTTTAGACGAATCAAGATCACTTCGGTGAACGAGGTAGGCCAACGAAGTTAGAAAGAAATCGCAACCGTTACTCAACACCTGTCAAAATTGAGAAAGTGTTAGGGCCAATTTCTATGACTAATTTTTCTGATCGAGTCAACTTATCTTCAGCGTTTGATAATTTTTGCTTATTAAAGAAGCTTTTAGGGGTTTAGTTGGATAGTTATTATTAATTATCAGCCAGCCCAACAGGTTCTTTTGTGTATGTTTTGAAAAGTTCACAAACTTAGCCACGTGAAGTTCGCTTCCTCCATACCATTTTCACGGTTTCCGCCTTTGTTTTCTTAGAGCGAAAAAAGCCAGCTCTGTAAGTTAGATAGTATGATGATGAATTATAATATCTTTGATTGGAATGGCAGGCATGTTTTCATTGCAACACTCACGCAGTTTGTGGTTAAACTTTAACCCTTCTGTAAGATTAATGATGCAGCAAGTGTCATGAATCAAGTATCACCTTTACGACCCATTTTCTTTTCATCGCTGCATGACGCACTTATTTCCGCCCTGCGCATGGGAAGATTTAAGACGAGTCAAGTTAAGCTTGTCTGGGTTCTGACCCTCATTATCATCACTAGGTCACGGTCTTACTAAACCGCTTACAGACCTGTCACCGGCTGCGTTGCTCAAAGCCTCAAAGCGTTGTTCTTTCATTCATTCACTCATTCAATCACTTTTTATTCCTTCCTATTAATCTGTTTATCTATTCATATCATTTTTTTTTATTCATCTGTTTTCCTTAGTACCTTGACATGCGCTTTTCTTTTGGTGCAAGAATGCTTGGCTGTGCATTCTTCTTGCTATCGGTGGTAAGTACATTTTCATCGAAATTATCCTTCCTTTCCTTTCTTTGAAATGGAAGACAACCATGGCGTTAGGTAGCAACTTGTTCGAAAAAAGTAACTCTTAAACGTATAAAAGATTACTCGAACGATCCATTCCCCCGCCCTTCCCGTAGAGCAACCGTTCCGTCCCTTCCCTGAGCAAGTGTAATTTAATTTTCTTCAGCCCAAAAAAACTCTCAGAGAAGTCAAACAATACTATATGCTCAATTTTAATTTTCATTCGGAAGAGCTCTTCTAACGTGCAGTATGATACCATTATCAACTTTTCCTTGATCTCTTGCAGACTCTGTATCTGTTCGTGGCGTTGTTTGCTCCTTCACTGGCATTGGAAGCGGGTAAGTGAGTTACAATAATCACCATGATCCACTTAGTGTTGGTCATCATGATCCACTTAGTGTTGGAGGGAAGGATGTGGGGTATTCTTGTGTTCTAGTTACTTAGCGCAACGGTTTTAAAATTGTTGTGTTAGTCAATATGGAGTGTTGCCTTTTGTTGACTAGAGTAAATCGGAGAAATCTGAGAATGCCCCAGAGAGGAGGTACTGATGCCCATTACAAAGTCAACCATAACGCCAAGTTTGAGAATTGATCAAATGTAACAACCACGTTAGCCTTTTCACCAAACATGCACTAAATCCCTTTGAAATACAACACATGGGTCTTTCCTAAGCCTTTCCTTATTACAACTTTTCCGCATGAGTCCGAGTAAATTTCCATTTATAATCTTAATCCACCTGATTTGAATTGACGTTCCGTACAGAAGAAAGAAATTATCTTTTCTTAATTCCAGTCGCAGGTATTCCGCTCTCAGTTTCCATCGTCGCTACAGGGGTTGTGTGTACTTTTTACACTTCTTTGGTGAGAACTATTTCGATACTCCATAACTTGCTTCATTTTGTTTTAAAACGAGTCCAACATGCAGCACTGATTACAACCAGGAGGTTCATGTATTTGTAGGGTGGTCTCAAGGCAGTGGTTTGGACAGACGTATTTCAATCGATCATTATGCTAGCAGGTCTTATTACAGTTGCTGTCAGTGGAAGTTTAGAAGTAGGCGGGCTGAGCAAAGTCTGGGAGATCAATAAAAAACACGGACGAATCAACTTCTCTGAGTATGTATGAAATGCAAATATTTGTACAATTATTGATTTACAGTCAAAAGCATACCTGCTTCCATTGTCGAGGAATCTATACGGACTCCGCAATCGCTGGTTAACTCGATATCAATCGAAGAGGACTGTATACCGACTTCTTTTCCAAGTTTTATTCTCGACGAATCCGCCGACATCTTAACAATTCATTCAATCAATTCTCTCGTTGTAACAGTTCAAACGTTCTCCCAAATCCAAATTCCCAAGCCAACCTATTGTAATGTGTCTATATTCAATTCTTATTACCCAAAAGCACGCTTCCCCTACCTCATTAGGCGGACTAAACGCGTGCAATTACAATATCTCTCTTACAGTAAATCAACTGCGGGCTTTGTTTACAATATTATGACATATGTCACACTCTCTAATGCAATCATTTACAATTCCGTGACATAATGAATATTTACCAGGACATTTAATTAATGACTTAATTCGTAACTAATATTCCCCGAAATCCCTATAGCCTTGCCATACTAGTCAAATATATAATACAGGCCGACTTAGTATGAGACATTCCGAGTAGTCCTGACAGAAGTCGAAATTATAAACATGACTTTCCGATTTGTGCATCAGGTGTACACTAGTATTACTACTGGGACAGGGGACACTCGTGAAAGTTATACCATCGAGATGGATTTATCAGGCAAAAATCCTGCATGTTGGAAAGAAAATGCTCTTGCGTAACACTGAGTAGATGCAGAAAAAGAATGAGTAATGTTTGAGAACCTCTTTTCAATTAAAATACAATGAACAAATTGGCGAGTGAATACTGGATTTTTTGCTCACACTTAGTTTTGTTGACATACTCCTTCCTTAGTTTCAACCCAGACCCCCGGATTCGTAACACATTCTGGACGCTTACCATGGGAGGCACTATCGCCCTGCTCCCAGTCTGGGCAACCACTCAATACTTTGTACAGCGGTATCTCGCAGTAAGGACACTCAAAGAGGCTAAAAGGTCAGTTTGGATGGTTATCATAGTAAATTGTTTTGCGCCCATGTGACCAACAGGTACGACTTTACAGAGCTAGTTTACGTCCATGAAGAACAGGATAAGGTGAAGACCTTCCGAAACGACACGAAGCTATCCATAAATCAAAATCGCATAATTTATGGTTCACATTACTCTGAGCTCGTACTCATTTCTTTGCTGTAAGCAGGAGAAAAGAGATAAGCTTAATCCTGACATGAGCCTTGCATCTCCTCCATGAAATGTAATTAAATTGCCTAAAAACTGGCAATAGATTTTTTGTAGATTGGGTCCACCAGCTTCATCACAAGAGAATCTCGCGTCACATCCTTGGTTAAGCCTCTAGCCAGTGGAAGCCGCTACTTTGGTATAGTGCGCTTCTCACTTGTATGGTGCGTGCGCCTCTCGCGTGTATAAATTATGCGCAGTAAGGTTGCGCAATGCAATAGAAAGGAATTACTTCAAAGATCTAATTAAGGATCTTCAATAGAAAGGAATTACTTCAAAGATCTAACTAAGGATCTTCAGAGCGCGCAAGAGTACACAACAACAGCTCAAGGAAGGATAAAAAATAATAAAATAACCCATTCCTTTAGGATCATCGTACCTTCACTTTCATTACGAGAAGTCCTCCTATAGCTAAAGGTATCCAGATTGGATAAAAGTCGAAGTTAACTTTGTTTGAATACACTCCGTAAGGTATCAAGAGGGAGCCCACTCAAGGGCGTCTGCGCACCATCACCAAACATGAAACTCAAAGAACTTTACCATACCAAAGCATGTAACTGAAAGATTACGTCGCCATTTAATTTTAATAATCATGGTTGATAAAAGTTTTTTTTTTTTAATTATTTTCAGTTTTAGAATTTAATGTGACAACATTGTAATTCATGTCTATGCAAGACTGGTGACATTAAACACATTATTACTATTATTAGTATCATTTTTTACATTATTCCTAACCCCAACGAATAGTGCAAATGTGGTCATTCACCGCAAGCATTCAGGTTCTCAGCATTTTGTGTTATTTGATGGACTTGTACTTCTTCATGCCTTACAGAGCGTTATGGCTGAATATACCTGGGCTGATCATTGTGGTAACTATTTGTACATTGGACGGAATGGTGATATTTGCAACATACGCTGATTGTGATCTGAGAGAAACTAAGAAGATCTCGAGAGGCGACCAGGTAAAGATCAGATTCAGGGAAAGGATATGGGGTTCTATTCCAGCGCCTTTACATCGCAATGTATAAACATGTGTGGATTTTAAATTCTATGAATTAATACTTTTCTTTGTTTGGGGGAAGGAAGTTGTATGTTTGGGATCCCCAAAAGCTTTGTACGTGGGAGATTCGATCGCCAGCCGCTGTTGAGAAAAACGAGCCCGCATACTTAGTAAGGAGACCGGACCCGAGAACGGTAGAAATCGAGAACGATCGATGAGATCGATCGAATATTTTCGGACAAATCCTACATGAGAAGAGGCTACCCCTAATTCTCCCCCCCCCACCCCCTTAAATTTGATGTAGTATCATCTGCATGTTGCGAGGCGGGACTCTTCTCTTGCTCAAAATCTTTAAAATAATTTTGTGTAAATAGTCAGACGGTTTCTCCGTTATTGCTGGGGCTAATTATATTCCATAATACTGCAGTGGCAATTCTTAAACTTAGCGTTCTTTTAGGACATTATTTTAAGGATTATTCTTCAAATATTTTTCAGGTTCTTCCGTATTTCGTCATTAACAAGCTTGGACATCTCAAGGGCCTGCCTGGAATGTTTACTGCATGTCTGTACGGCGCTGCTCTCAGGTACCTAGCTTGACATATAATTCTACATCTTTATTAGACGCAACACTTCTTGCATCATCATCGATTATCCTCTGAGAGGCGCCTTTCTATTCAAGTCACTCGCTTGATACCTCTGATAAATCCTTATTCAGTGTCAGCTTTTCACATATCATTACGATTTTTCAACTTTTCAGGTTCCAATATCAACGTGAGAAAAATGCTTACGAAGACCAACTTCCGTTTGGCCACAAAGGATCTATTTAGTGCTTATCTATTTCTGTATTTATTTCCCTACCAGCACAATATCCTCGGCTTTAAATGCCATGTCCCTTGTGACAGTTGAAGATCTCATCAAGCGAAGAATAAATTTAACCGACTCTGAAGCCACAAAAATCAGTAAAGTAATGGGTAAGATAACGTTTTACTCAAATATCAGTCTATGCACATTTATTTAACTCAGGAGCACAAACTTCAATGCTTCAATACTTCTTGCACACACTTCTCAGGAAACCCGGTGGGGCAACCGGCGTGTTGCATTTTTAGTGTTGTTTATTTTCACGTATTTTCCCTCTTAGCGGTCTTCTATGGCGGAATTGTGATGGGTGGAGCTTTTGCAGTGAAATATACTGGTGCAATGGTTCTCCAGGTAAGACGTCATTTCTTACCTGAGTTACGACATTTTTCAGCCTGTGGTGCGGACTGTCTCGAAACACCATATCCAAGTTAACTTTCAGAACCGAATCATTTCTGTGGGTATTGCACTGTCAGTACAATACTCATATCGCCTTCGGCTGATTGAGTAAGTGAGTGTAAGAATGTAGGCCCGCGGTGCATGCATGAATTTCGTTTTCATGGTTAAAGCACTGCCCACATGTACGCTTTGGTGGCCTATTTTTTGATTCGGTAACAAAATCAATTCAGTATTGTCATATCCAAACGATCTTAACCGTGTAATTCTAGCTTTCATTAGCTTGAAGCCCGTACTTCGAATTTTCATCGGCCACAAATGATATAAACTTTGATGTTCGTTGACTGCCTTCTTTGCTTTAGTTTTGCGGCACTCACCTGGTACGAAAAAGCTCTCAATCTCAGCTAGCAAGTAAAGTGATCATGTTAAAACATTTGTTTCATATTTTCCTCAGCTTGCTTATAGTATCACTGGTATCTTTGGTGGAGCACTGCTTGCAGTTGTCACACTTGGAATGTTTGTTCCAAGGATGAACTCAAAGGTGACTGTTACCAAGCCTTGGCAACGTGTTTATGATCCGAAACTTGAATCGGTTGTTCCCAGTTGAAATTCAAATACCACTTCTGAAAACAGTTTGGAGAGGGCATTTTCAGAAGGGAACGCACCTTTAACCCTCTACATCCTAAAATCAGTATCCACATTCTCTAGACTCCTTTCTATACCTTTCCATTGGTACTGACATGGAGAATTCGCTCAAGTATGAAAGCCGGGGGCTTCCTAGTTTGGGGATCATTTCCCTCATCCTCATGATGTAAATGAATGATTCTGCAGTATCAATATAAATAGAAATTCAATGCTGGTCACTCTTAGGGTTTAAAGGGTTAAAAAAAACTCCCTTAAAGAGCAAACTTTTTTTTAAATGCAACTCGTTGTTGGTGGCAACATAATTTTTTTCCAGGGACGAGGTAGCTTACGTTTTCGAGGGTACATACTTTCCTAAAGTAAATTGTTCTTCGAGAGACAACATCTTTTGAGGAGAACGCAAGCGATATTGGAATTCTTGGGTCATAGGTGACGGGACTTAACTACTAAATCTTACAGTGATTTGGCCCCCATTTGCAGGGTGTCTACTTCGGAGTTCTGACAGGTGTCGCGTTGTCAGCATGGGTGTTCGTTGGTTCTGTTTTCTACCCGCCTGATACCAACCCAGGCCTACGTTCGGTAGAGGGGTGTTCATTTTACCAACAAGCTCTGATAAACGACACACAGGGGATTCTATCCAAATATGACAATGGAACCATTAGAAACCGTTTCAAACCACATACGGGGTAAGACCGGATCGCGCCTGACTTCTTTAGTTAATTTATGATCTTCACTTGCTTTTCGCTCAGTTATCTCAAACTTGCCTGTTTCTGTAAGATAATGAAGATTTTAAAACGCTGTGATGGGAAACTTCGTTTTAAATGACTCTCCGAAGTGGTTTTGTGTGGCTGAAACTGTTCAAATAACTAATACCATTGTGCTTTTTTTTCCATTTCCAGCACTCCGTTAGCTGACCTATACAGCTTGTCTTATTTTTGGATTTCTGGAGTGTCATTTGGTGCAGCATTCATTGTTGGATTGATCGCAAGTTTTGCCTTCGGTAATAACAATAAATCATTGTAGCTTTGAGGTAACGTTCATGATTCGGTAGCCAGTTTTCTATTGCAGGGGATAACCTACATCAGTTTGCCTTTTACTCAGAGTTTTCTCTTTGTTTCACTTAAGAAACTGAGGCAGACAGGCGTAAGAAAGTGGATTCCAAGTTGCTATTCCCAACAAAAGCTTGGTTACGCGGCTTTCTGCCTGGTCACAAATTCACATGGGAAGAAGAAGAAATGGCGTATCTAAGCCAGGGAAATGAGGTCCAAAATAAGGTAAACGTGTAGCCTACCGTGTAGCCTTACCCTCCCCCCCCCCCCCCACCCACCCACCACCAGGAAGAAATGGAATGGAGGCTAGTAAAATTGTCTTCCCTTCCAAAATGAAGAGCATGTCTGCGTCATTGCTGTTTAAATTTCAAAAACTGCATCACAGAGGCCCACGCAAGTAACACTTTCAAAGCTTTTTGGATGAACACCTAGTCCAAAGCTTTAGATCCTGATTACAGATCTTCGCCTATAGCCTCTGCTAAGGCAGTCAAAACAATGAAAGGGGGAGGGATGCTTTTGAATTTTTTTATAATTGCTCTATCCAAGAAAAGTTATTTTGAAATTTGAATGATACACCGAGTTACTCTGATCAAAATATGTTAGAAGATGGTCGTAAAGGATACCAGTGGCCAATACTTCAAAGAAGAATTCGAGGTTTTGGTTACGAAAACATATTTTGCTCCTAGAGGTCGGCCTTCCCTAGATTGACAATCTTCACGTCACTTAACTCAGAAGGCCTCCTTCGGGCTATCGGGCTATATCGGAGTATACCAATCGTTAAAATAATCCTTGATTTTCAAATTTGATATCATTTTCCTCCGTTATGACCCTGTCTCTAACTTTGTTATTTTCAGAAACAAGAGAACGATCTCCTGAAAAACGAGGATACCAAATTGTAGTCAGACGTGTTCATATGATCATTGTATCAAAAGATGATCCAGCAATATATCTTCATAGCTCTTTCGATGTTGCATTCAGCCCATGGTGGCTGAAAAAAGCGGACATTCGATTGCCATTTTCAGCAGTAGCAACAATAAACTAGTAACCACAATAACCCAGTACCGAACAGTATGTAAAAGAAACACATAACTTGGTATCATTTAACTTCTTTAAGGCTGAAAGTTTTGACAACAGCCAAATCGGCAGAAAGCAATACCACATAGTTTTGTCAGTTTTTCTTTGAAAAAAAAAAATTAAATAAAGCATAATGTCCTTCTCAGGTTCGTATTAGTTAGGTTCTATTGTCAGTATACATACGTGTATGCACATTCACTCTTCCTAGGTATTGATCCACTGGGTGGTTTGAGATTCGTTTCATGACGGATTATTCTTTTCATGAAGGATTATTCTTTTCACTGAAACTTTTCACTCCCCACCCCCCCTCCATGGACAAATGACGCTCGTTAGCGCGCACATGAATAAGCATGACGTTGCAAAAATGTTCTCTATCATAAGAGTGTCTCCAGGTCCCTCTGTGTTCTCTTTCAATGGCGCGTCTTCAAAACACGGGTGTTGGTCAGCCTGTGTGTGCAGGTATACAAACTCAATCAGCCCACCTTCAAAAGTAATTCAAAACTGGACGGGTGACCTTCCGGGTGGTTTCGCTGTACTGTTCGCTTTGATTCTTTCAATCAAACAAGACTTCAGGGCTTGTAAAAGCTATGAAGAAAAAGCAAGATTAAAACCAAGCCACAAGAAGGACCAACATAGTTAAGATCAAATTGATGTTAAGAAGGTTACAAAACGTGAATCATTATCTATATCCCCTCTCGGCTAAAAAGAAAACAATCTACACGCTCATCCGTCCTAATACTAGAATAAAACAATATGTGATTGTGACACACACGATAACACACAGTAAGCAGGCTGGTGACCAGTCTCCAGCCTTCCTTCATTTCACATCGCAGTTACCTCATTGCTATTGTTGTTAAACAAAGTGTCCCTAAAATTCTTGACTTCCATCATGGCTGCCAGGTTTTTCAAAATGAAACCTGCGCAATAGCTGAGCAGCTCTTTTGCCTCGCACAACTGAAAAGTTACAGCAAGAAGTCCCATCAAACCATCGGCAATATATCATTAATAGAGCGTTCCCTAATTATGGTAATTCCTGAGAGTTCTAATTAAAATTAAAATTTTTAAGTCGCGACCCTTCCGTCAGGGAGGCACAGAGGTCATATTTACCACACGTTTTTTCCTTCAATATAGGGTGTTTGAATCCTTCCCGTTTCCTCACAATATTAATTTTGCCTTCGAGTGCTTTTCTATTCGGCGTCGCAAAATTAAAGCCAAGGTCATAACAAAGGGTAATCAGAGCAAAGAAAATATGATTAATTTATGAGAACTAAAAGTATAAAACAAAAGCAAACTTCATGAAGCGCGGGGATAACTGGATGACCAAGTCGCGTTGGATTTTGGATTCGCATCTGATTGGTTGAGAGGGGGGTGTGATTTCTTTACAGACTCAATTAAAAATTGCCCTACGTTTCAAGTGTCAAATACTGGTGGGGTGGGTTGAAATCTGAATTTGAGAAATGGCGCCCTTTGGACTCCCGGGTTGTGGTTGACGCAACTGTAAGCAGAAATGAATGGATGAACGAAAAATCAAACTTGAAATAAAAGGAAGATCAACGATTTACTCACATTTGCGAAAACGTATGTGTCGACAACGTTTTCACAGTCAAGGTGTTTCGCAGCAAGACGCTCACAATGACGTTTTAATGAGTCCAACATGAAGTACTGCGAAGCCTGTAACAACTATGTGGGAAACAAAGACGGAAAAGCAAGTTAAGAAGTGAACAAAATACAAATCCCCCAAATGCACGAAAAAAAAATCAATCACAAACCTCCAGAATTTTATTTTGATGTACAGGATCGTCCACCGTTCCGCTGTATAAAAACTGAATCACAAGCTAAGAAAGTAAAGATGTTATCATTATCGCCCCCTTATTAATATATATTAAATAGGTGTAAAGCTGCCTCCTCCATGTGGTAGGCCATACTATCTCCTCTTCCCCCGGGTAGAATAAAAAGGGAAACAACGACAAGAAACCTAAACCAACCTAAAATAATGTCGTCAAGTTTCCCTTCGAAGGATCGCCTTTCACTTTGGCTGGTCGTAAGAGGATGGAGAGCTTACTGTCTTCCCACAGCACACGAAAGAATAACCACCCCGATCCATACAATAGTACACTGATGTGAGCCTGATTGTTTACAGGACGGATAACGCTATCCACTCACTGGATGAGTCTTTAAGCATAGAATAAGTGTTAACAAGACGTGCTGTGCTATATCCAGTGGATAAACACTCGTCCAGCGGATAGCGCTTTCTACCCTTAAAACGACGGCGACATAAAATCTCTGATGACTATCGTGTAGAGCAAGCAGCGTCCATAAACGCAAATGTTACTTCAATCATAATCCTTACCATAAATATTTCATATTTTATGTCAGTTATTTCAATACAGGGGGTGCTCCCATCGTTCGGCTCGATAGTCTTGTTTGACAGCATCGCCTTTAAAGTGGAAGACAATCCAGTTAGAGAAACAAAAGACACGTAAATGCCGATATATCTTAACTATCTTGTCGATATATCTCAATTATATCTTAACCCTTCAACTCCCAGGATCGGATTCATACTTCTACCTCCTATAACTGCTTTGAATTTCCTGGTAAATTAGGTAAGCGCAGTTTTTGAACAGGTTCTCTGGTTGAGAAGGGGGCGAAGATATTCTTGTCTTCTCTCAGTTGGATAATACACTAAAACTGTGACAAAAGCGCACTCGTATAACAGACCTTAAACTTCTTTGAGGCGGTGGCCAGGATGATTTTATGAGCGTAAAACGGTCGCCCTTCAACAACAAACGTGATGTCAGACATCTCAGGGCTGTTAATGTAATCTGGGCCTGTCAGAGAAATGTAAAAAAAAACAAGTAAACAAACCTGTATCAATTCAAACTTAGTTAAACGGCCTTGCCTACCACGAGTCTCATATGACTCCTATAATGGTAGAGCGTCCAAAGACCGAACGGTAGTAGCTTCTCATTGGAAGCCCTCAGAAGCCCTTGGAAGCACTATTAGAGGCACTCGGAATTTTTTTTCCCAGTCTGCTGGTGTCAATCATTGAATGACATCGTTTTTTTTTCCAGTATATCAGACTTCTTCCATAACTAAACGAATTATAAAGCTGAGGTGCTTACAGAGCAAGTCTCCCATGAGTGATGAAATAAATCCGGGATTGCATTGTCTTGAGTTCTCACTAAGTCTTTTCACAATTCCCTCTGATCTGATCGGACACGGTTTTGTTTCAAGGAGACTGAATCTAAACGCGCTTAGCATGCGACAGACCCTCATTATTGGGGCTACGGGACACGCGTTTCTCCGTCCACGGGTAGATTTGAGAAGAGTCGGGAAAAGTTTGCGGGGAGTCTTCCACTAACAGTGCCAGACCCCTCACCGACTCGTGTTACTTAAGGCTTCATAATTTCCCGCGGTTGAAGAAACACTCAGGCCAAAGAACAAATAATGAGGGCCTGGTCGCCAGAAAAAACGTGCTCTAAAGACCATCTAAGTGAATGTGTTGCTCACCGATTCTGATTGACGTCTGTGTTATGGGAAGTATCTCGATCTTCTTTAGAGGTTGACGGCCAAAACAACACGACAGCACCGATGCAAGCTCCTTCGACAGAGCAAGGTCCTAAATTTATCACAGTAAAACCAATTAAAACCGCGTGTTACGTCTACCTTTGAAGTCGTAACCATAACAAACACTACCAGAACGTAAGGACTGTCTATTTTCTTCAAGACGCATAACAATATATCTATTTTTTTTCCACAAGGCACTAAGTTCTCCCGATCACTGATTCAATGTTTATGTTACCTCACATTCCTTGAAAATATTGAACAGGATGACAAGTCCGTCCTCACAGAAGTCACTTGTGTACTCATTAGTCGGCATTGACTGAAAGTCGCGCAACAAACATTTGAGGAATGCCTTTTGTCCTCGTTCGTAAGCGTGACCTACAGTTTGACTCCAACAATGGATGTTCCATGGCACACCTGAGCAGGACAAATGGAGAAAGTAGGTGGATTTTGTGATATATATAGGTCCTCCGGTTTCCCACCCTCCAAAAAATTTTAACATTCCCAAAATCAACTTGACCTGGAAACAGTGGACAAGAAGAGCCACCTCGTGGAATGTCCACTCCTAAATTCATATTTTCATTATCTTCACTTTGTATTACACGATCTCCTTGGCCTTTGAGATAAATTTTTTTTGCTTGTTTTCTTTGCTTTTATGATGCTCCGAAGAAATACACTCTTAGAGGTAATGCATAATTCATTCTTACCCAAACTTCTTAACTCCATTGCGATTTCAAGGAATCCATGCTCACAGCTGTGGTACAGAGCCTCCTTAAAAGAACGAAACATGCGAAGTTGAACAATGAGATGTGTAAAGAAGAGTTAAGAATTTAACCCTTTTAATCCCCTAAGAGTGACTAGCTTCTAATTTCTCCTTACAATATCACCCTTCAATCAAACATAAAGGTCATGAGGATTAAAGAATTGATCACCAATGCAAGAAGCTCTTGGTTATCAGTAAAATGATCCTTATCCAGCACCAGTATCACCCTTCAATCAAACATAAAGGTCATGAGGATTAAAGAATTGATCACCTATGCAAGAAGCTCTTGGTTATCAGTAAAATGATCCTTATCCAGTACCACAGGAAATGTAAAGAGAACATTGAAGAGAATATGAATATTGATGTTAGGGTGTTACGGGTTGAGGAGTTCAAATTATGACATCTCACTGGAATCCTGTGGTACCATCTTACTCTGCACGTCATCTACCTTTCTTGTTTTTTTCAAAGTTCATTAATCATTGTCCTTATTACCTTGAATCAGTTTTTATTTTATTTCAATAGGCTTCACTCATACAAAAAGGTAAAAACCTAGCTTGTTAAGTCAACACTTCGAGAGGACATATACCTCAAGAGCCATGCTTTTTTTCTTTGTTAATTTCATTTCGTTTCCTTCATCCAAGAGAGAACCTGGGTTGAGGCAAAAAAAAAAAGAAAGAAAGAGAAAAACAGAGTTCAGAACATCAGAGTAACAGTGTAAAAGACAAAGATTAATCTTTTCGCGCAATTTTCCCAAGAGCCTTACCAGTTTGGCTCGAACTCGAGGTAGTAGTTTAGCCTCTTTTTATATATTGCGTCCACAAAA